GGTAAGTGAAATTATATTATCTTGCTGTATGTATGTCATTTTCTTTACGTTTTCTGACTAAATGCAACCAAAAAGCCATTTTAAAGTGGTTAAGCAAATAATAATAATAATAATAATAATAATCGGCAGGGATCCCAGGCCAATACAATTAGTGTGCCTCCTCTATTTTAAAACCCACGAGCCGCCACTGTACTAATATAAGTGTTGAGGTGATAAAAACATGTTTTTCACCCAAATTACAATGTGATTATTTTACCAAGAAAAAATAATTACCAAAGCATTTAGCTAAACTTAACGAACCACCCTTTACACAAATGTTGTTAAAGTAGCTAAAGGTCCAGTTCCAATAAAGATACTAAAAAAATGTGTCAATGTTTATAAACATTTACAAATGATGAATAGTCTCCACTTTAGATAGGGTACTGCAAAAACATGAACAAATGATTAATAAATGATTTGTAAAGATGTGAAAATAGGGTGAATTCAGGTCATTTGGGACACTTTTTTTTTTTGCCATCAAAATGACTGCTCATAAAGGTATTAATGATTAGTAAATGTTTATAAACCTTTACAATTGATGCATAGTTTCCACTTCAGATTGGGTACTGCAAAAACATTAACAAATAATTAATAAAGGATTTAAGATGTGCAAATAGTAGAAGTCTACACAACAAACAAAGACCAAATATATACCTTTACAGGCTGTGATTATTAGTTAATGAATATATTAACATGAATAGTTTGTGAAGTGCTTCACAACATTTGTAAATGTAAAAATGAGCATTAGCTAATATGTGAACTGAAGTTTAAAAAATGCATTATCATATGAATTGAAAGTTTAATTGCATTTGTAAGCATTTCAATTTACATTAAATAATGATCTGTTAATCATTTGGTAATGTTTAATAAGTTCATCAGTTAACATTAACAAGCACATTATCTCATATTTCTAGATATGTGAATATATATTAAGTAATGATTATTTAAACATTATATAATGTTTGTTAATGATTTATTAATGAAAATTATAAGGTGTTACCAATTGGACTAATGTTTAATTACCGTAAGCACAGACTAGGGATGGACATATTCACACTAATAATCCCACTCAAGATTTAGAAAC